CAGGAAGCAGAGAGGGCGAGAGAGCTCAAGAGGAAGATATACCCTTCCAGGTTATACCTCAGGGAGCTACCTTCTGCAACAGTCCATTCAACTGTGAACAGATCATTGGATTGGTGAGGTTGGCACAGTCCTGACCCAATCACCTTCCCAAAGCCCCGCTTCTGAACACATGAGCCTTTGGAGGGACATCTTTCATCAAAACCATAACAATGAAGAGATGTTATTTTAATGTTAGAAGCCCTCCTTTCTCTAGTATCTGAAATAACTACCTGAAACTTTGTAAAATTTTCTGCCCCCCCCACCCCATTCTGGGGTCTAAAAAGTCAGTAGACTCAAAATCCATTTTCTTCTTCTCTTCCCTCCATCTCCTACGCTTGGATTCATCATGCCATCAGTCTTGTTCCCAGTACTCAGAAAAAACTATACTGACAGTGTACTTGCTCAGTGGCAAGGCAGCTTATAGTTGGTTGAGCAACCAGGACTGTGTCTTGTTCCTTGTAGGCCCATGTACCTGATTTCAGAGTAGATGGTTACAGAAAAAAACTATGACAACTTAAGTAATCAAGGAGGTGGCCATTGCTAAGCAGTAAAGAGGAAAGCAGGATGCCTTGTGCTTGGGTCTTGGCAGTACGTTACAAAAAAAGATCTGCCAATCACTCCCCATCCTCAGGGGACCAGCTCAACACAGAGGTGCAGAAGGGGCCTGAATGTGGAGCTTTATCACCAGCATCTGGCTTCTCCCCAACACCCTAGTTTGCAGCTTGCCATCAAATCTTCCCCTGAGGCCTTCCTCTAATACTAGGGTTCCTGTGCCTTAGTAAGTACCATGTCCCCTAATATATTCTCCTTTTCTTCCTGACACACTTTTCATTTTTATGACTTGGCTTCTTACTGCTTCCAGTTGGAGATCCTATTCCATTCTTGAGATTGTACTTATAGCTCCCAATCTTAAACCCAGCCTTAGACACATGCCTGACTATTGACAACCATATTGGTCCAATTGTCCACCTCCCTGGCTTCACTGCATATGCTATTCAGAGTTAATATTATAAATTATAGTTGGACTCTCATGTCAGCCCCTACAAGCCCATTTGATGGAAAAATGCCCCAGAAGTACAATCTACCATTCTCTAGCTTTATTTCAACTGATTCTGTTAGGAAATGGAATTTGGGTGTTAACTAGCAATCTCAGAACCAAGTCACTGAGCTTCAGAAGTTAAAAGGAAAACTTCAGTAGTTTCTAAAAGTGCTGATGAAACAAGAAAGGTGTTGTTGGAATGCAAAGACAATATAACTGGAGTTGGAATAGAAGGGTTAGGATTAAACTGACTTCTGTTAATACTATCAGGAGATGATGGGTGGGGATCCCAGATGGTGAGGAAGGGGAGATAGAGAAGACACTATGTGAGAAGCCTAACACTTGACTTGTCGAGATGATTCACAGAGAGGCATGGTGCTGGGAGTGTAACTCTGTGGTAGAGTGCTTGCCTTACATGCATAAGGCCTTGGGTTCAATGCCAGCACTACAATAAAATAAAATAAATGAAAAGGAATCCTACCTTTAAAAATAGCAAATTAACGTGACCCAAATTGGTCATAGGAAGATTAGCTGTATCAAGTCTGAACAGGACAAACCTTGGGACAGAACCAAGATCATGAAGAAGAGAGCTACAAGGAATGATGAATAGCTGTCTTATTATCTTCAAAGAAATTCTTCCCGACTTCCCATCTGTACCCTCAGTCATGACCTTGCACCTTAGGGCCATCAAGGCAGTTCAGTTGCTCTACCTGACATAAGCAGATTGAACAAAGGGTGGACTCTTTCCCCTACCAGGGATTTAATACTAAGGTTGGAAGAATTGGGCAATCATTTTACACCTGGAGGAAAATGGCAAAAATTCAGGAACTATGTGCCAGTATGTTATGTCATGTGACCATGGAACAGAGAAAATCAGCCTTAAGACAGGTAGGAACCCACTCGTTTGTTCATTTATGTAGTCAGTAATGGGAGAAGCAAAGGTAGAAGAAAGGAATTAATCTTTGTTGAGTTCTCACTATGTGCTAAGCTGAATGATATAGAGAGGCTGTTGAGGAAACCAGGCTGTGGTTCAAGAACGGGAGATGCAGCCAGTGGTGAAGCCATTTCTGTTGCGATGAATGATTTGGCACACTGTGGAGTCAGAGACTAAGGGCTACTTTGGCATTTTGGGGTTTGCATCCATAGCTTCCAGTCCTACCAGTAAAGGGGGTTCCTCTTCTCTTGTTGAATGCTCTAGATCTAAAAGAACCACCATAGGTATCTTTTGAGAACTTGCTTTCTCTGTGTACATAGGAAGTATTAGTCATCTAGTCTGAATATCTGCCATCTGCTGAATGGAAAATTAAGGGCAGTGTTGAAGAAACATACTGCAGCAGAGTCCCTAACAACTTGTAGAATGCGTTCACCTTGTACAACATGCACAATTGGGTGGTTAGATGTTTAAACACCCATAGTTAAACTCTATAGTTTTAATTGATGTATTCTATCTTATAAAAATGTGATCTTTTACACCTTCAAAGAAACACTATCATCCACATTATTCACAATAACACATTTTACCAACAAGACCACAGAACAATAATATAATCAAGTGAACATTGTTAATATTCTACAAAATAAAACCAAACTACAATGAACAAACCTGGTGATTCAAGTGGAGTATATTTCTAAACTTGTGTGATCTAAGAGTACTACAAATGCAATCATTTTTACTTCTCTAAATTGATTGTTCTGTGCTTACAAGAATTGCTCTTTATAAAAATATTCTTGACTAATGCAGCAAGATAACCCAAGATAAAATTTAAATATGTATTAGGCTTCTCTAGAAAAACAAAACAAATAGCATACACCAAGAGAAATATATAGGAGATTTATTATAAGGAATTGATTCTTGATTATAGATACAGAAGGGTTCCATCAATGTCATCAATGTCACTAAAAAGCTGATGGTGTGGTTTCAGTTGAATCCCAAAGGCCTGAGAGCCAGGGTGGAACAGTGGGCAATATCCTAGTCTGAGTGAAAGTCCAAGAACCAGGAACAGTGATGTTCAAGGGGAGATAAAAACCTGATGTATCAGCTGAAGTAGCAAGAAAATTCCCCCTTCTTCCATGTTTTCTCTTTGTTCAGGCCTTCACTGGATGATGGATGATAGTTGCTCACACAAGTGAGAGAAATCTTTTCTTCCCAGCCTAAAGGTTCAAACACTAATCTCTTCCAGCAACACCCTCACAGATACTCCCACCAATGTTTACCATCTAAGCAGGCACCCTTTTGTCCATTCACATTGCTTTGTGCTTCCCATCTCAAAAGAAACAATGAGATGTGTGACTCCAAATTCTTTGTTCCCATCCTAGTTCATCTCCTTCTAACGATACACACACAAGGAAAGTTGAGATTTTCTTTGCCCTGGGGCTGTATTTAGAGAATTTTGTTTCAAAAATACAGGTCAAAAGTAGAATTGTAAAGCAAGACAGAGGTGGTTATAATATTGACAGGCAGTAAATGAGTAAATGCTCAGAAGCTATGAAAACTCTCTCAGGGACTGAGATATTGGACAGACCTGCTACCTGCCACCTTTATAAAAATTCTGATGTTAAAAGTCACGGTACCTATACTGGATTGAATGTCAGGCACAGCCAGCACATTTGGTGCCAGGAGCCAATTTTTAAAAACATTTAAATTCATTTTTAGAATTAATCATAGAATAATAATTGTTTTTTCCTAATTCATTCTTCAGTCTTAAACAATTAAGTGCAAATACAAATTTTTAAAGATATTACTTAAATTCACTTGAATCACATATGAGAGAAAATGTAGGAATTAAACAATATTATTCACTGTGGTTTGTATTCTGATACACTGTTTTAAATTTTAAGCAGAAATGGCAACTCCACAATGTCATACAGCTGATAAAATTAAAGTAACTGATGTTTTATGTATTCATCTGTATAATCACTGGGTTATCATTGCTTCTTTTGAGTCTACTGTTTAAATGCAGGAATGTGTAACACTACCAAAATTCATTCAAATGATTCCTAGTAGCTAGTAAATTATTGCTAAACAAATGTGCATAATTGATCTATAAATGTAGAACAAGAATAAAACCTGAAGGTTCATCTAATTAATTAAAAATTCATTTGGAATAAAATATCAAAGAATAAGTACTAAAGCTAATTTGTAGCTTGTGTATGGGTTATTAAAATGCAACAATATTCATAGTATTGTTTAGAATTTAGACCCACAAGATTTCTTATGAGTACAGAATATTTTATCTCTGTATTATTCAAAATTTCTGGCACATGGTGATAATAAAAAAAGTAGTATGACTTTACTGTTTTACTAGCCTGCAAAAAATACACACTCATATGCCTACACCTGTCAAAAGTTTAGTTTTGGTACCCACAGATTGTTTGAATTGCATTGATTATTTCTCCAGGACATTTGTACTACTAAGGAAGAGGTAAAAGTCTTCCAAAATATGACTGAAATTAAATTTCCTACCATTTATATTGATGCTTAGCATCAGATTTCATTTGATTTTAACAAATGTTTAAATGTGTCCATACTTCATTTGAATGTTATAAATTCATATCAGTTCTAACAATATTGTCATAATCTAGATAATATAAATATTATATGCTTCAACATTTGTTTTTCTCTATCTAAAAAATCTAAGCGGGTGGGCTGCCAGGAGAACTACCCCTTCAGCCTCTGAGGAGCCCAGCCATGTAGGCCTCCAGTAGCAACATTGGGCTGCACCCCCACACACACCCAACCTTGGGCCCCTGGGCCGGGGCCTCTGGGTGCACCAGTACCTGGGATCCACACTGCAGAGGTACAGGGGGTCATAAAGGCCATTGTTCTGAGCCTCAGAAGACAGAACAGAAGTGAAAAACAGAGCAAGGGACTCCCTAAGGCTCCTTGATGAAAATTGAAGCCCACTGGAAAAGTGAAGAGGATCTCTGCAATAAAGGCACACAGACGACCACAGCTGGTAAGTTGGAGGGATCACCACCTCTCATCAGAACCTGACTATCTTGGGGGAAGGTCAGCTGGAACCTGCAGTAGAACTTTGTAGAATTTAATCCAGCAGGAGGTCAGGGAGGGCAAATTGGACCTTGAAACCAGAAATCAGGCTGAATTCAGTGGACTCTGGCTGGCTTACTGAGACTAATCACCTTAGATCTGCACACTGTTGCCCACATTGTCTATTGTGACAGCAGAGACATACCCTGAAGAAGACCCTTTTTAAGTTTTATTTTTTTCAAATTTATTTTTTATTTTGTCCTTTTCTTTTTTCTTCTCCCCCATGTGTTCTTCATCTCACTTCCTTTTTGTTCCTGTTGCTCTCCTAATTCAGATTTATTTTTTCCCTTTCTTTTTCTTTTCTTCTCTTTTTACTTCTCATGATTGTCATTAGTTTTATAGGAAGTTATTGATGTTAGGTTGTTCTATTATTTTCTTTGTTCTTTTGTTCTACCTTTTTCTCTTGTGTTCAACAGATTCCCAAAGTTTGTGTGATCTTCCTATGTCCTCTGGCCTCGTTTCTAATCTTTCCCTATCCTTCTACTTATCTATCCCTCCCTTCCCAACTCCTTCTAAGTCCTCATCCTGAAGGGTAAAGTTGTAGGAAGAATTAACACAGTGAAAATGGCCATACTACCAAAACTACTTTACAGATTCAATACAATCCCAACTGAAATTTCAACAGTGTATTTCATAGAACTAGAGAAAATAAGCCAAAAATTCATTTGGAACAAGAAGAGAGCTATATTACAAATCCACTGTGCAAAAAAAAAAAAAAAAAAAAAAAAAAACACACCAACAACAACAGCAGCATGGTACTGGCAAAGAAAAAAACCAGAGGATCAATGTAATAGATTAGAAGATATAGAAACAGACATACTTAGCCACCTTCTATTTGATGAAGGAGCCAACCATCCTCAGTGGAGGAAAGGTAGCCTCTTTAATAAGTGGTGTTGGAAAACCTGGACTTCAACCTGCCAAAGGCTAAAACTAGACCCTTATCTTTCACCATGCACTAAACTAAAATCAAGGTGGATTCAAGATCTAAATATTAAAACAGAAACACTAAACTTGCTGGAAGACAAATTAAGTAGAACTCTTGGAGACAACACAAAGGAAAAAGACTTTATGAACAAATCCTCAGTAGCACAGTAACTAGCACAAAAAAAAATCAACAACTGGGATCTCAGATTATTAAAAAGATTCTGCACTGCAAGAGAAACCACCAACAGAGCCAAGAGACAACCTACAATGTGGGAGAAAGATTTATCAGTTATTCCTCAGACATAGGACTACTATCTAGAATATATAAAGAACTTTAAAAAAATGTCACCCCAAATATAAAGACCCAATTCAAAAATGGGCATCTGAAAAGAACAGACATTTCTCAGATATAAAAGCAGCAAATAAATACATGAAAAAATGTTCAACATCACGGGTCATCAGAGAGATGCAAATGAAAACAACACTGAGATTCTACCTCACCCCAGAAAGAATAGCTGCTATCAAGAAATCAACCAATAAATGATCAAAATATATTATATGTATGTATGAAAATACCACATTGAAACCCAATATTTTGTAAAATGAATAAGCTCTAATTAACATATTTTGAAAAGAAAAAAATCAATCAATAACAAATGCTGGTGGGGTTGTGGGGAGAAAGGAACTGTTCTCCATTGTTGGTGGGAGTGCTGACTGATGCAACCACTGTGGAAATTAATATGGAGATACCTTAAACAACTAGGGTTAGAGGTCCCATTTGACCCAGTATTCTCCTGCTGGGTATCTTTCCAAAATATTGAAAAGAATCATACCACAGTAATATATGTGCAACGATGTTCATAGCAGCACAGATTGTAATAGCTAAAATTTGGAAACAGCCCAGTTGCCCATCAACTGGAGACTGGATAAAGAAGATGTGGTTTTTCTATAAAATGGACTACTACTCAGCCATAAAGAATGAGAAGCTAGGGAAATTTATAGCTAAATGGATGCCCATTGAGGTGATACTCCGAAGTGAAATAAATAGGACACACGTGTGTAAATATTGAATATTTTCTCTGGTGTGAAAATTAAAAGTGCAAATAAGGATCAAAATGTGTAATTGATAATGTGAAATAGAAGAAAAGGTCTAAAGGAGCAAGAAAAGTGGAGAGGTAAGGGAAAGAAAAAAAGGGGAGGAAAAAATGTGAGCAAAGGAAAAAATGGAAAAAAGGTTTTTGTAAATAGGGAATGGTGGAGGGATTGAAGGGACGGTAGGGGAATGGGGAGAAAATAAGAGCCAAGATACATCATGTAAAGGTACAAGTTCCCAAAGATGAATGTAACTGTATTGTATACCTAAAAGGTACCAATAAGTGTAATGAAAAAAAAAATATAACAGTGTGTACCGAACTCCTTCTCAAAGTGAAAAAGATAAATGAAAAAAATAAACTATCATTTCTATGAACTATTTATAGAATAACATCAATGAATCTTTTGTCTAAAAAATCTAAGCATTGTTATATTTTTTATTGTCAATATATAGGAGCATATGGTCAACCTTTAAAAAAATTATACAATAAATGCATCATAAAACTTTGTAACACTTTCTAGGTAATTCTTCTATCAAAAAATCTTATATAAAAAGGGTGTACATTATTTCCCTTTCTATAAGTTTGTAGTTATTGAAAGTATTCCAGGCTTGGAAATGACTCAGCCTGTGCTGCCACAGCTTAACATCTTCTACAAGTAAACTGATGTTATACAAATAGTAATTACAAGTGTTTCTTTGCTTGGGTTCCACTCGGTAATTCAGTATTTCTGTTACTTTCCACTGACCTAATTATTTATAGGTGAATTCTAGGAAACAACTAATTTTTGCAAATAAACCCTTTTAGCCTTGATTAACTCAAAGTCCTCTACTGTCTCTGAAGTCTTGCAGCCCACTAATACCAACTAAGCTGCCACCATTGTCTTCTGCTGCCACCCAGGACATAAGTGCCACATCCACAAAGCTGTTGCTGTCGGTGCTATTGCCAGTACTTGCGCAGTGGCCTAGCTTTGAACTGGGAAACCTTCACAGAAATTTATATTTAATATTGCTAAGCATCACTGGAGACTACAATCAAAGTTAGAACATGGACCAGAGAGAAGGGGGAAGGATGTTCTCCAAGAGGCCTGAGGAATGTGAGATTGCCAAGGGGTAGTCTCAGGTCCCAGTGTGTAGAAGACATGATCACTTCTGCTGGTAGGAGAATCACTGCCCTAGGCACTCAGACTGTCAGACCAGCAGTACCAATCTCCCTCCAATTCCCAGGGTCACATTATCTGATATATATAGAGAGAGGCAGAATCTTTGAGTAGATAATGGTTTAAACCAACTTCTCTAGCCACACGTAATGAACAGAATTTTGAGAGATTGGTTTTAAATTTGATCCTTGGAAACACCTGGCTCCATAAACCAAAGGCTAGATATGCTGGCTATCTATCTTAATCTGTCTCCGGCTACTCTAACAGAATTCTTGAGTTGGTTATTTTATTATTTTATTTTCTCACAGTTCTAGAGGTTGAGAAGTCCAAGGTCAAGATTCAACTTCTGGTGAGGGTTTCTTGCTACATGTCAGAGTGGAAGGTAAGAGGGCAGAAGAGAGAGAAGCACAAAGGGGTTGAAGTTGTTCTTTTACAATGAACCCAGTGGCATCATACTCACCTCTTAAGAGTCTCAGGTCTTGGTGCTGTTCCAATGGTAATGAAATTTTTAACACATGCTCCTTTGGGGACACATTCAAAGCATAGTATTGCCCTACTTCTGCCACTCCCTAGGACCCACCTGCCCCTGGACCACCTAGTCTCATCAAACTTAGTCTCAGTCTCAAACAATGCCTCTCCTATATTTATAAATATGCCAAGAAACAAATGACAGTTTCCACTTAAATCTGGGAGAAAAAGGAAGGGTGAGTTACTCTTTTTTTGCCAATACCTGATTCAAAATGAATGGGGGCCTTCCAGATTCCACTTTATCTCCCCCCACTCTGTAGAAGACTTTTGTATATCTTATTGTGACCACCAATATTGTCCAAAAGCGTGTCCCTCCTTTTTAATCACCAAATTTCTCTTACTCTTGTACAACAGGAAGACAAGTCCGCTCATGTTACATCTTAGTCACTTTACCATCACTGAGATGCAATTCCCAACACCAACAATTTACAGGAGGAGAGGTTTATTTTCACTCACGTGTTAGAAGTTTCAGTCCTGGCAGGGTAGGCAGCACGGTGGAAGGGATTGGGCAGCAAAGCTGCTCGTGTGATGGTGGTTAGGAAGCAGAGAGAAGGGAGAGAGATACATCCTACCAGGTCACATTCCCAGTGATCAACTTCTTCCAACCAAGCCTACCTCTTTACATCACCTTTCACTATAGCACCTCCATGATTCAATCACCTTTCAAAAGCCCTGCTTCTGAGAGTATGAGGCTCTTGAGAACACCTAGATATAAACCACAGCATGTTATTTCTTCCCCTTCCAAGGGAACATCCTTATTGATTAAAGAGCTTCAGTTTTCCCCTCCCTCTCAACTACTTCCTCCTTCACCTATGCTAGAAAATGTCCTCAGAACTCTTTGGTTGCAAGAACAGTCTTACATCATTTGATGCATTGTGAGAAATACATTGTTAGGTGATTTTGACATTGGATGAATATCATACAGTGTATTTACACAAACTAAGGTGGTTATGAAGCCACTAGGTGATAGCCTATGGGCCAACCACTGTGGATGGGGCCCACGTTGACTGATGTGTTACTGTGTGGTACGTGACTGCCATAGAAACAAATTTGAATGCACTCTCACCAGCAAAGGAGATTTTACTCTTAGGTAACAGATATTTCAAGAAGCTACAGGGTAGGAATGCCACAGTCCTCTGGAAAGACTTGAACATGAATTGTAAAGGCATCAATATTCTTCCAACCCTTCTTTTTTACTGTCCTCTTTTTCATTTTTCTCTTTCCTGTAGCTTCTTGTGGCTTTGTATCCACATGGTGGGATTCAGTCACAGGAGACTCTACCTGGTCTAGTTTGGATTGTGTACAATTCCCCAGCCAAGTCCATGACATACCAGGGACCAGATTTACTCTCCTCCCTGACACAACTGAATGAAAAAATACAGGACACAGTGGGTTATGAACATGAACAGCTGGTAGTGCAGGCAGTGACCCCTGAGAGATGGAAAAAGAGGTGAAGTGAGCTTCATAATGAGAATTTCCGGGTTGCAGTGCAGGGAGGCCAAAGGAGATGGAGCTCAGGTGGCTCCCTGAGTTGAGAAGGTGGAGCTGTGAAGGCAGGAAGCCAGGGAGGCTAGGAAGCAGGACATAGAGCCAGAGGAGAGAGCTGAGTGAAGAGCTGGGGGAGAAAAGACAACAAGCTTTGGGAATCAGAAGTGCCTTCAGCTGAGTACTGATCAGTGCATGCCTGGGAGGAATCTACTTGAGCCCAGGAAAAGAAACCTCTGAAAGGAGCAGAGTTCTTACAGGTCTGGGAACAGTTTGTGTTCCCACAAGTCAGAGAGCTAAATTTGGGAATTCACAAATATTGAGTACCCAGAAGGATGTGATCTTGAGAGCAGAGAAAAATGACTCAGTCCTAAAGTCTGCTCTAGGTCTGCCTAAAAATGCTTAAAAGTAAACCTGAAATAATCAAACTGTTTCAAAGCAACTGCATCCCAGAGCGGAGCTCAAGAATATTAGTAAGACTACAGAAATATCTAGCACAGGAGGTAAAGTTCACGACATTTGGCATGTACCAAGCCCCTAGCCAAAGGAAAGACACAAAAATAAAGAGGAAGGAAGAATTCTCTGTCTTGAAGACTATGAATGTCAGTCTCTTGCTTTTCCATCGAAAGGATATCAATAGTTTCTTCTTTATACATCTAAATATTATTTGAAGTATTAAAACAAACATGCTCTACTGTTGCTTTCTAAAAGACCAAACAAACCAATCGGGAAAATGAGAATACCAAGCAGAAAAGGGATCAGAGTGGTTTCTGCAGCACTTTTAAGATTTATTGAAGGTCTCTTACTCTTTTTGCCTTGTTTTCCAGAAATTTCTCCCTTTTCTTCACCTCCGTCTCTTGCCTTTCCTTCTCTTTACATGCTAAGCTCAACTCAGAGTGCAACTGAAAAATGTTTTCTAAACACCTAGAACTAGTTTTTGGAGAAAATTTTGCTCATTTTAAAAATTTTACAACCATCAAATTGCAATAAGTACACGTGTGTACTTACCAAAGAAGAAAAACACTCACTGCATTCACCGGTGGTTCAGCTGTCTTTTATTCTGCCCACTTCCCCACTCTTGGAGTCAATGACTCCAGCGGGTGAAGGCTCTGCCAGCCCTGCTCCATTTCCCTAGAACCCACCTGCCCTATCCCTGGGCAAGTAAGACTGCAGCTAGGTCCTACACCTCCACTTTTCTCCTGGGCAAGCCCTTTCTGGCAGGAAGTGGGATGGCTATGGACTCAGGCTGTTGATGAGCAAAGGGAAAGTAGAGAGGAAACAGCAGACAGCAGGACGCAAAGAAAGCCCTGGTAGGGGCGGGAGAAGAGTGCCGGGGCCAGGCACGAGGACGCTCAGTGGTGACAAGCAGAGAGAGAGAGTAGAGCGCCCGGGAACCGGGAGGACAGAGGGAGAGCGCAGAGGGCGCGGCGACTGAGCGCCCAGGCGTCCTGATTCCTGAGCGCAGGAGAGCCAGGCGCTAGGGGTTCGGGACGTGCCTAGTCCAGGGCACATCGGAGGACTCGCGTGGCCCTGCAGACAGCCGCCCACCATGAGCGAGACCAACCGGCTGTGTTCTGGCTACTACAGCCTCAACCACACCTTCGTGGAGCCCTTCCAGTGCCCCCGGCGTGGAGAGGGGGCCGCGCTCCTCTACTGCTGCGGCTTTGCCGACCTGAAGTACTGCTGCAGCGAGCCCGGCAGCTACTTCCCCTACAAGCACAGCTACATGTGGAGCCTCAGGTGGGCAGGACAGAGCAGGGCGGGCGCGCGTGGCGGGCTGGGTCCGGGTCGGGGTCGGGGTCTGGGGAGGCGATGGAGAGGCCGCCTGATGCTCTGCCACCTGCACCGGTCAGGTCCCTCAGCGGGAACGCGGAACCTCGGAGGAAGTGTAAGGGTCAGGTTCCGGGTTCGGAACTTCGCCAGGAGCAAGGGGCCGCGTAGGCACTGGAGGAGCGCGGGCTCTGCTACTCTCAGGGCGCACCCGGGCCTTCCAGACTGGCCCCGCTCAGATCCCTGTCTGCCTCGCCAAGCGACTGATGTCATTTCTCCTCGGGACAGGTCCCAGGCAGGGGAGTCTGCTGGCAGACAGAGAAGCTACGCTGATAAGTTCAGGTGGAGTATTATTATTATTAGTGTCTTCATTTGGTGCAATGAACAGAAAGGAGGCTCCTCAGGGACTTTTTAAAGCATCAGATATTTATAGTCTCTTTGGAAGTGTGAACTATTTGGCTGTATTTTTTAAAATATGAAAAAGGTAGGGGAGTGTGTGTGTGTGTGTGTGTGTGTGTGTGTGTGTGTTTGCACCGGTACGCACACTGGACTTTATAACTTGCTCTTTTCAGAAGAGCTACACTGACTCCACTACAACAAATGAAAAGCACTCCCCAAAGATGTAGCTTTTAGTTGCTCTGATCACAGACTTTGCAAAACCTTTCCAGGACACCCTCTTACTCAACTATTGAGTCTTTGGCCATTGCTGGAGAGCAGCTAAGAGACTTTCTAAGGTGCAGTCTTTCTTATTTTTTCCCTATGATGATAATTTTATTTATTCCTGCTAGTATTTATGCAGACATTTTTGCTGAGTGCTTTTTCTACCCTCCACTCTAAAAGATGGCAAACTCTGAGCTTGATTCTCTCTCTCTTTTTTGTTTTTTTGTGGGTTTTTTTTGGGGGGGCCTGGATACTGAATGGGATCCCATGATTGTAGGAAAAAAACTTCTACTGCCATCTTAAATTGTTTCCTATAAACATTAGCTTTTGTCTGGACAACAGAGATTGAGAAATTTTTCTAATAAGAGTAGCAGAACTTGGCATGACCCAGAACTTGGCGTACGTGTAGAGTATACCACATAACTAAATCTTATTTCCTGAAGCAATAAAATATTTTTTACAAGCTTCAAAAAGTTTCAGAAAGGCCTCCCTACCTTCCAGTAAGTTCAACTCACAAAGTTGAGCTAGAATAGTGAAGGGAAAAAAAAAAAAAAAA